TTGCCCATTTTGATGCTCTTTAGGTACATGCAATTTATCATTTTACTATTTGTTTTGTCTAAATTGAGCCGTAGATATGTATGTTGTATGTGTTGTATGTCTTGTTTACATTGCAACCTATAACGTTTGCATCATAAATAAAGCAGACGATATGTGGTTATATATTTATTACAAGAAAAATTGGGAACGTTGTGCTCAGATATAGAGCCTAGCAAAATCAATACGTTGCCCGAATGATACCTTCAAATCAATAAATAGTGTCAAATACAGGTAATCAGTACTCAGTATTTGACACTATTTATTGATTTGAAGGTATAATTCAGGTAACGTATCGATTTTGATAGGCCCTTTATCTAAGCACAACGTTCCCAATTTTTCTTGTAATAAATATACCCAAATTAAGTGTTGGATATACCAATACCACATGATTTATTACCACATAATACATAATAGTGGGGTAGATAAATTCCAGAATATGCTTGAATCGTTCAGATGTTGATACAAGCATGAAATTTGGCATGAATGAATCCCAGTAAAGTTACTGTTTTATATATAAACGCTGACCACTTAAAAATTTAATATGGTCGCCGGGTTTCCAAGGTGGCGGCACATATTAATTATCATTTGGTAAGTATCTTTCAAATGATGATATCCAAACGTAAAATTGAGATGAATAGTTCAAGGTTGTGGCAAATTATGCCTTTTGGGTTGCCTATACGTAGGTGGTATGTAGAAGAAATGCGGAATCAGTAGCGGGCGAAAACACACATTTATCTGTCCATTTTAAACGTTTTGCAGCTGCAGCTTAACAATATATTCTGTGATTCCAAACATAAAATGCAGAATCAGTAGCGTGTGTTAAAATTAATTTTCTCTCATTGTAGTCTAATTAAAGATCTCATCGAAAGGAACCGTTTTCTACCAACTACTGCCCTTTTTTCTGTCCTCTTACCAAAGTACGGGGTGGAGGGGGAGGGGGAGTGGAACTAATTTTATCCTTCATGGTACTCTAATGAAAGGTCTCAACGAAAGGAATTAATTTCTACCAACCATAGCCCTCCTCCTCGGCCTCTTATCATGATCGGGTATATTACCTCATACCTCAAGAATGGGTTGTAGGAAGAGGGTACTCACAAAGGGCGATTGAGACGTCTGCAAGAAATATATCCATTGGTGATGTCAAAACAAAAGCTATTTCGGTTTTAAAAAATGCGCTTTATCTGCACAAGAGTTGTGCACAATTTATACTTGTTTTCTTATATCATCTTTGGGTACAGAAACGAAGCTTAGATATTTATGATGAACTGTATGAATGTAATTGCTTGCTATGCTTTTGATATAAGAGAGATGAAGTATTGTTAGAGGAAGGCGTAATAAACAATTGATGGTGGAATGACGACATCTTGTATTCGATTGAATTGTTGTTCGACGAAGGCGCATATGCAGGCTAATTCTAACTTCGACGGCTCATGCACCATGCAAAATACACAATACTATATAATAATAATTGAATTCATAATGACTTTAAGAATATAATATCAGAATATCAGACCCGTATTTAAAAAATGTAGTTGATAATGGTTCCGCAAAGCCGAGATGTTAAAAAAATTAACAACGTCGTCACCTTTTAAAAGTTGCTATGAAGAAAGTGTCATTGATTTGCCCTAGGTCAGATATTAATTAACGTCAGAAAAATAGTTCGTAAAATCGAATAATCCGATTGTTTCAAAATATTTCAAAAAATCAAAAAATTTTTCAAGAATTGCTCAATGCTATCTTACACCTTTTATTGCGCAACTTTTCTCCCATTTAACCAAAGTTGTATCTCTCAGAATGCCCATAGTGAATCTCCTTATCTCTGATAAGAGTGTATTCATTTGGTATTTTTGTATCGTCTGATTTAAAATCGAAGCTGAAGTATATAAATCTATCCAAAATTCTTTCATTTTCTAATGAATTCCGTGATTATTAAGAGTACTGCCAAGGATTGTGATTTCTGACGATTTAGGTGACTTTCAATAGAGGAACATGTACTTTCTATAATAGTGAGACACCCCTCGTACGTATCTGTCTGTGGAGTTAAAAGGGGAAGAAATGAGCTATTTCTGCACTTGTTTCAATGTATCTTTGGTTTACTGTGCTTACAGGGTAGTTAGTTCATACACTTGCACTATATGATCTCGAACATATCTGGAAAACAGATTCAGTACATGATTTAACGGTAAAAAAAATTGCGTTTTATACGACCTCTATAGATAGTAAGTGTTGTACACGGTAATGGAAAACTCTGATCACAAGTGAAATAAAAGCACTCGCGAACAAGTGGCACATCCAGTTTGCTTTTACGATGTAATTGAACTCCTATTTTAAACCACACCTTGATCAAGATTTAAAAATCAATTCCATAGTGGCGTACAATAAACAATGAGTTCATTGTGGCCGTAGCTCTTGTGCTTTGTAAGAGCAAATCTCAAGATGAAATACTTTCGGTAACAACCGGGAAGTAATCTTCGTTACTCTACCAACATAAACTTTAATTTTTTCTGTACCTTGAAGGCTGTCTAATACAAAATAAAAATTACAGTTAGAAGAAATAAAACGTACTCGAGTGGAATGAACAATGTACACGACACTTAGGACATTGTTTCTCAACCATATGTGGTTTATAAATAACACTAGAAAACACGAATCGTGACCAATATCATCATTATAGATAGAGGCCCCACAAGAATATTCCGTATTAAAATCATTTTTAGAAAAACCACTTTCATGAAAAATCGATGGGTAGGTACATACTTTATAATTCCACGTCCCGCCTATAGTACATAATCGAAATAAAACTTTCATTCAACTTTCTAATCTAATAATCTACGGCAAACTAATTGATACATGATTGACTTAAAAGTCGTCGAAATTGACAGATTGAAAATCACTTAACATTTCCCATCAGTAATCGAATTCGTTGTATACTCTTTCACATGATGTAATTTTTAGTAAACGTAAATAAATAAAAAATTCCGCACTTGAAATAAAGAACTTTAAAGTAAAGTAGGCACTCTAAATGCACTTTAAGTTAAATACCAAATACACTTCTCGTCGTGCATTTTTATGGACTTTAAAAGCGAATTAGAATCCTGAATGTTGTAAATACAGCCGCTTGAAAAAGCAGAATCTACCTTACATGGATTGATTAAGTATGGTATATTTGAGTGAGTCCTTATACTGACGAACAATTGCTACGTTGATCATCTAATTTGGACAATATGCACGTACTTGAAACACTTAACATAGAACAACAATCCATTGTTGATAATTAAATATTCCCTATTAGGTCTCTTATCTCACATATGGATTGGTACTGTGTTGGAAATAATAGTTTTCCCACTTATTCGAATAACGAGGAAATTGCAAAGTAGTAGGTAGAGTTAACAGTAGTTCTCCTTACACCTGCGGTAATCAGCTTCATTACCACATAAGAGATTAAAAAATCGACCTCTATTCTACCTTTATACGATTTCATTAGTAAACTTTTGGTGTCGAAACAACACTTAAAATGCCAATTATGTGGACCAACAAATTTTTCAGTCGTAGATTTTTTAATACCGATTTATATTACACGCAGTTTGGTATATGCAAATAAGATTGAGATTAGAATTTTAAGTATCGAGAAATGGTTGATAAGAAGAATAACGTAGGAGTCATATTTTAGTTATCGGAATATGTACCTATGCGCAGAATGTCCATTAGTTTCTGATGACCGGTATGCAAATCAAAGTGCTTTCAAGTTCAACCCACGGAAACGTCTCAGTTTAATCTCATGTCGTAAATTAACCAACTTTTGAACTACTGTACTAACCGAAGATGAAATATTAAATCTTAATTACTATAGAAAATGAAAATTAATGGAAAAGCAATGTTTACTCTTGGGAAAATTTTTGAAATTATTTCAAACCGTAACGAGATTAGAGAAGTTTACTGCAGTACTACTCAACGAAAGTATGAGAATGTAAACAAAAAAAGAAACAAAAACAAGGTAGGGAAAGTAACGGCTTATGTCGTATGTTTTTTTAAAATGTTGCCGCGTAATGTATAATTAATTTCTGTAATTGAATTTACTTCGTAGCATAGTGATTCTTAATTCAATTTCGATATGATTTGATTTATAGTCGTGTTGAATGTTATTGTTTGGAAAATGTTCACATTAATTTGGATTAATGTAAATAAGTTTTTTTTTTAATGTTCACTCGGAGGTGTAATAGTAATTGATTCTCGATTGATTTTAGTATGAGTAACTTTCCTGTATTTGATCGATGGTTGGAGGATAATCCATATATGAGAGCACTTTTGTACAGTAGGTACTCCTTAAGATTCGTGATTTCAACTTACTGCAGAAAGCAAAACCACTCGTTGAGCAATAATAGCGTTAGTTCGTTGTATTGCTATCAAAATTTGCAAATATTTTGTATAGATAGACAGAAACCTGATTAAAAACGACATTTAAAAGATCTGAAGAATCGCGTACGATTTGTAGGGGAATTTCAGCTCGCATTCGGAAACACGACTTGTTCAATAGCACTGATCCTTGAACTCATAGTAATTGATTGGGGAAGATTTGACATCCCTGTCTTTTTTCATTCTCGAGTAGACAAGAAACAGACGGACAGGCAAAACCATCACATAAGAGACCCCTAAATTCCCTAAAAATGCGTTAAATTAATTTATGTTAACTGAGGCTGGAGTGGAGCCACGTCATTTTGGTGCTTTCTTATGTACATGCAATTTATCATTTTACGAGTTGTTTTATTTCAATTGATCATTTATGTGTTTCAATGTGTTTTTGTACTAAATTGATTGATCTGCTTCCATTTGCATTTATGATATCTCATTGGTCGTGGTTTTGTGAATTGTTTGATTCGATTACTTGATTTTTATCGTACAACTTGAGATGTTTTATTTGTGAATTTTTCTTATTTGCATTTTGTTGTCGTTGATTTATTTAATGTAAGTATTTGTGTGAAGGACCAAAACAAAAACTATTCCCCATAAAACTTTAATTGTAAAATTCAATTACGGTGAGTAATAACATTTAAAAGTGTAAAACACAACTAGGCTACAAATAGAGTATATTAATTATAAAAATCAAATACCTAATAGACCAATTACCTTACACTTACAGTAATCGTAAAGTTTAATGTTCAAAAATGTTAAAAAAATTGAAGAAGTCGAAGTTACATCACTAAAAAACGGAGTTAAGAGCAAAATACTGAAAGAAATATTTGTGTGGGCTATGCCGGGTTTTGTGCCGTAGAAGGTTTCCATGACATTGCCTTGTTGTGTACGTAATATTGTAACGGTTTATTTTCTTACCCTTAAGGCCTATTAAGTCTTCGAAATACTTTGTTTCATTTTCTACTCTTCTTTCCCTACAATTCGAATTCAAATTTAGTAACTTTCTCATCTCTTTATTGTTATTACCTGTAGCTGATAACAATTTCCTTTTCCCGTATACTCTTATCAACTTTCACTTTTCCTGTAGACATCTTGTATGAAGTACATGTGATTTCACCAAGTCTTTAATTACAATTATATTGAGCTTCTAAGGAAGGATTTGTAGAGAATTGGTTGTCAGAGAAGATTAAGTACGTGCCGTTTGATATTTTGGTGGTTAATTCTCGCGCATATATTGCGGATCTTCCGTCACATTCACCATAAGCTCGCTCGTCATCTCAAGAGGTACGACTCTGTTAGCTGTAATTGTCTACACATTATCGATGTTTCTTTTAGCTTTTTTTTTACGTCTACTTTATTTCGTTCGTCGTCTTCAAGTTTCCTTGGAGGTTTCATCACCCAACGTTGGATTCCATCATCTACAATAATCAGAACCAGACATCCTTGCCTATCGTGATACTTACCGATATCTCCCGGAACCATCTATACCTACGTCTTGCATGCGTTGTGTTCTGGTTCGCATCACCAAAGCCACATCGATTGTCAGCCGTTAGTCACACCATCCACTCCGGTCACCTTAATTGGCAAGCTACACTCTCCGGCAAAGGTCAGGCTGTAATTGTTGTGCCATCTCCGTTACATCGTCACGGTGGTCAAATAAAATAAAGGAAGGGAATTCATTTGTCGAGCCTCTATCCTATCTTACCTATCTCCTCTTGTTCCTTCATTCTTTTTCTTCGCTCACTTTCACCGTGTCGTTTTTTTGTGTTTAACGAAGTTTTTTTTATACTTATGATAAACAAGATAAATACTTGTCATTTTGGAGGTTATGTATAATTTAAGGTTATATTTCATTTAAATTTTTGGTTGCATTCAATTACTTACGTATTAGTTACACTATTTGGTGCTTAGTCACAAATTAATTATATTGAGTTTATAAAACATTTCACAAGTCAAATATTAATCAGTAGTATACCCCAGGTGAGGTACCCGTGGTCAAGGTGTTATATTGGTAGCGCTATCTAATAACCCAGGTCCTAGTAAACTTGAGGTCATATAACTCGCCCTAAACTTAAATCAAGCGAGTAAGTGGATCTTGTGAATGTTAAAATTTTTGTTCATTGCCTTGTTTATTTGTTGTGAGTAAGTCGAAGCTAATTTGCCCATTTGGTTATTGAACTGATATTTAAATATACCGTATTTTCGCCTCCATGTCATTTCTTTCTTTCTGTGTGTGTGTGTGTGTGTGCTTGAGTATCGCCTTCGTCGAGATAACTATATGCATCCTGCTCCCTGAAGCAAGAGCAGTATCTACAACTTTCGTTGTTATTCCCGCTTCTGGCGCCCATATAAACCAAATTGAACCTACCCATTTCTCCCTGTATAGCAGCCGGCAACGAAACATTGTCACCACCAGAAGAGTGAGAACTCAAGAGTTCCTGTGGTTTTTGTACGTGACAATATATTTGATTTGTTCTTGTCTTTTCTTACGCACAAATTCTGCATTTTATTTAATTCTCTTCCCGATTATGTCTCACGTCCCAACACATAAAAGAACCGATTTTACACAACGTAGGAGTTTATTTGTGACATCCACTTCGAACCGACTGCTATCGAGATTCAAAAGTGTCACGAAACGTCTGTCGTTTCGACTTGGAAGGTAGGTGGCTCTGTTCGTAGTTTTTCCCAAAGTTACCAATGGTAAGTATAGAGTAAATTAACATTTATCGTGTCGGCTTGGGGGACCCCTAGACAAAAGTTTTTGTAGTAAAATGATTTTTACCTGTGATTTTTTTTACATAACTGTTATATCCTCACCCCCAACCAACCCTTCAAGATCACATTGGAGCTCTTGGCGTCTTGTTGGTTCAAAAGGGGGCAACTGCGACACAGATGCATCACATATGTAAAAACTTTATTTTTTTCTTTCTTCCTCAAAATTTGCCCATTTTTCGAATTTTTTTTTCAAGGAAACTAAATCTCTCCGGCGCGGCGGTGAGTTTTTGAATTAAGGCATAGACTCCAAAGTCGCATGATTTTTTATAATAATCCCGTATCGAAAAATGAAAATGTTTGATTGACTTTCGCCAAACAACAAATTTTTTTAAATTTCAAATGGCACCCTCCTAAAGAAATTGTGGCGCCAGATAGCCGAAACTACAAAATTTCTATTGATAACGACGCGAGGTTGCAATTAACCCACCAATAGTAAGGTCTTAATTTCGAACGTTAATTTTAAGCTGCTAGGTTTGCTTTCCTAAATCATTTTCACTTTAGTGGCTGTAAATCTACCAAACACTAGGTACCACAAACTGTTAACCATATATTTTTAATTTTAAAATGGCAGACTTGTTCGGAAAAGAAAATCCATTTAAAAAAACGTAAGTTTGATACGCTACTGGAACACAGCACGCCACCGGTGACCAGACATATTTTAGAAACTGGGCGAGGGCGTTCTTTATGGTAAATGATACAAGGGGTCTTAGATGCTATACCCTGTATATGGCGGACAAATTGGCTGTTGTGGTATACTATATTGTAGCGAATATACCAGAAACCCCGATAGTCATCGAGGCGCAATGAAAGATTAGTCATCGGCGATAAAGAACGAAGGCGGATGTGACGCAACCTTTC